GAGATGGTGTTTGAGTAAGAAATGAAAGCTTGTGGACATTGATGGAGGCAGATTAAAGCAGAATACTGTAGAGAATAGAGTGAAATGCCTATGTGCTACTGACGTCGTATGTTCCACTAGGAACCCAATAGACAAATAATAATGATAATAATAATAATAGTGACTAGGACTGGAATCCAGCTTTCTCGGAACTCATCAGCTGGATGTGCCTGCTTCTCATTGAGTGACTTTGTTCCCACTGAGACCTGAACCTCACCATTGAGTTAAGCAATACATATACATACAAAAGAAAACGATCCAAAGCTCTGGTCAAACCTGATCCTTAACGTACAGACTGCCTGTTAAATTGCACCAACTGTACATCATGATTATTTTAAATGTTATCAGTGTAGATATCAGAAGGATGGGCAGTAGTAAGTTAACAGGCATAAAAAGCGAAGCTCATTACTGATAGGGTGTAATTTTCAAATGTTTCCCAGACGAAGTACCAACATGTTTTATAACTGTTCAAAGTCATATGAAATTGTGACTGTACATTTTATCAGATATCTTCTTCTGAGAGATATGTGACTACAGAATAGCAATGATTATAACTCCTTCAGTTTGTTAGAAAGGAGAGTGAGTCAATAGTCAGCTGATGAATCTCTATCTGAATGAAACAAGCATCATGGTTTTTGTTGTCAATCAGATCCTTATTCAACCTTATTGGTACATAACTATAAGATACCAGTTGTATAATTTCATTATTTGTCTTCGAGTATAAACTGGGCGTTAACTTCTCATTTTTCACCAACATACTCTCTTACCAGTAAAAACAAACAACCAAATATGAATCAATGGAACAATTTTTGGTTGTTCAATGCTCAATAGTTCAGTTGTTTTTTTCTTTAGTTCGCGGTTTAAATGAATTGATAAATTCATGAGTAATGGTAGTTAAGTTTAGTGTTTGGAGAATCATAGAAAACTCACTTGGATTGGGTACGTGTTTCATTATAGTTTATGACTGCTTAAAGAAAACTAGCTTACATATTAATTTTGTTCTCCCCTATTACTTTAAATTTCAACTCATACTAACTAATAGCTTGTAAGGGATTACTGTTAAGCTATACTCAGAAAGGTATCTAAGTAATAAAGCATGTATTCATAGTTATCCCAACTATGTATCTTGGATTCACACGATAGTCAGGTACAATCCTTGATGATGGTAGAGTTTCCTGTAGACAATTAACAAGTTGATGGTTTGAATTCTACAGCAATTCAGTTTTAACTCCCATTCCAGTCACCGCTTTTTATGGTGAATACTTTTCTGCCAAATTACGCGCATTTCTATTAATTACCCCAACGATTAATTTCTTTTATTATATTTATTTATTTGTCCCTTGGATTCCTATGGGAATATAGGGTTTCAGTAGTACATCTCCATTCAACGCTCTTCTCTGCAAACGTTTGAACCTGGCTCCACGACAGCCCACAAGCTCTCATTTCTTCCTCGTACCACGTCCACCATGTCACCCTCGGACGCCCAACTCGTCTCTTCCCTTCTGAGTTCCACTCGAATACCTGGCTTCACGCGTGATGTCTCCAGTCAGCCTTCTCAGTGTATGTCCAATCCATCTCCACTTCCTCCCACTGCATATTTGTTGAGCGATAGGTTCTTAGTTGGTTATTTGGTTCGTTGCCAGACAGTCAGAGTTCCTTGTTGCTTATTCTTACTATTCTGGCCTTCTCACCTGATCTTCAGTGTCTGTATCGAGTGAGTGTAGGTGGCAGTTGTTGATGAATGTCTGTAGTTTGTTGGAAATGCTTTTAGTGACAGGCCAAGTCTCTCAACCATCACATAGAAGCACTGACTTGACTGGCATTGGTGTTGAAAATCCGGATCTTGTTCATGCTTTGTGCTGAGTGGAGTGCAATAGATCTCCACACTGGTTTCAGGTTAATGAACGCCTGTCTTGCTGTCTTTTCGATCGTGGCTGGCTTCGACGTCCTCGTCTGTGCCGTCTGCAGTTGAAACAGTGCTGCCTAGTTGGTAGAGGAAAGAGGCTACTTCATTTAAGTTTCTGCCATTGATGGTGATTGCAGCGTGTTGTTGGTGGCGATGGTGGTGTTGGTTGGGTATCTTCATCACCTCTATGTTCTCTACGTTCACTTAAAGTTGCGTCTTCGCTGCCTGTTCTGTGAACTTGTTAGTTTTCGCCTGTAGATCTTCAAGTTTGGGCGACCATCATGGTGGTTATTGCGTTTGTTCATGTTCACACTGTTATCATTAGCAGAATTAATGATGGTAAGAAGAGGAGTTAAGTGGCTTTAATTTGTGAATATTACGGTATTATAGATGGGAACATGTAGCTCTGAATATAGGGGAGTATTATGCGAATCTTTAAGGATGACAGCAAACATCTGCATCGAATGTTCTTAAAGGTTTTTTACTTGAAAGAAAGAATTAACCCAATACCGAGAGGAAACATAACGCTATAATTAATGACTACACTTCTGAATATGTCAATGTCTTGTCGTCTCTCCTAGACACTCAGCTAACCCCTTAAAGAATACGATTCAAATATTAGGCATAGATAGTAGCTAACAGTAGAAATCATCCTTCGCATCAAAACGAAATCATTGGTTACATCAAAGCATCTTCACAAGAGTCCACATATTAACAGAGTGTCGGCAGTTTAGTCTAAATCAATGAACAACCTGAAATCACATGTTCCAATGTCAATCTATACCTTTTGCACAAGGAGTACCAATCATAACTCAATAACCTAGTGTATAGCGAACTGTCTAACCTTTGAAGTAATGAGAGATGCATTCGAATATCACTTGGAACATCATCACTAACACTGAAGTATATGTTTATCTAGGTGAAAAGTTAAACCATGTATCCAGCTAACCACTCTCTAGCCATCTTTAATATCAGAGTTCTGCCATCCTTTTAAAAGAAATATTCCTTAAATAATCATCTTTTGGCTTAGGAAATAAACACAAATAACTATAATTCACACAGATAACTATTAAGAAAATAACATCATATTGATTGACCTCAATGAAACCAGTGGTACCGATAGGAAATCAAAAAATCCGCATGTTGATTCAATGGTCAATGTGTGTGGCAAAATTTAAATTTCCATTAATATTGCTCCTTCAATTAATCATCATTACAAGTTACAGATTTCGGTTAAAAACAAATTTTGGGCAGAAAGTGTAGAATTATTCTAAACTTTTAATCTGTTAACAATGAAACAAGGAGAAGAGATTGAAACTGTAACGAAAAGTTGATTTATATTTACGAAATATACTATTGAACAGTCTAAATAGTTAGAAATTACTCAAGTTGATCTGAAGATTTCACCAGGCAGCCAGATCACAGTGATTTAATCTCCGGATCGTAGTTTCGGTCGTTTGTGTCAAAACTTGTCATTGGTGTGTCTGGATAAATTCAGCTTGAATTGTTCAAATCAAAGAAATTTGAGTAGCTGACTAGTATTGACTGGTTCTGTATATCTTGAACAGGATAGTCAATTCACAACTGGTTTACACATTGCATAGTTCACGTTGAATCTACAGATGATTTTGAATAGTTTCTAACTACTCACTTTGTTTAAAGGTAGTATATTTCGCTAGCTCACAGCATTTTTTGTGTCAGATCACACATTATGATCTTGGCTGGCGGATAGTTTCCATCGGAAACTTTGTTGATAGCGTTATAAAGTCAACATTCACTAAAAGAACCTATCACTAGAAACGTATATATAAGGGGATTTACATCCAAAATGACGGAAAACATTCGTAGCTTAGAACAATAATGTTTTTATCGTGGACCTTTCATCACCAGTCTTCGTGATATCTTCAGCACCAACTTCATGAAGAAGTAGAGTATATTCAAACTTTACACGAATGTTTAAATAGTGCCTTTAGTGACCTTGAGTATTGTCCAATGGTAAGTGTTTACATGAAAAGTTTTATTGTCTTATTGAATGAAAAAATTGTTCAACACTTTAAACTATTTAGGAGTTAATTTTTCACTAAGTTACTTGAAAGTTGACTAAATTGTTCATGAAAGAGGGTTTCAAGAGTTTGTGGTATTCTGATGAGTACAAGTCCGAGACGAAACCAATGGATAAAGTGACATTACATCATAATACAGTTTACGTGATGACTGTGGTAAGCAGGAAGTCTGTACGCTGCACTGTAATCGATATTAATTCATTAGAGATCATCAATACAAAACCCTGTAGGACTTAGATTTCGTCCTTAGTGCCACTCACCAGCAGAATGTATCTCCAAACTCAGGGGAACTGACATCCCATCAAAGGTTCAAACCTGCGTTACTTCTAGTTTTACAGTTGACTGAATTCTGTTGATCATTTTCCTAATGTGGTTACCAAGCTAGGAGGCTGAACGTCAGGGTGTACTTTGATAGATGTATGTTGATCAAAAGTGATAAGCAGGAAGTGGTAGTGGACTTCGGTTACGTCCTTCTTGGTAATAAGTCAAGAAGTTGTATGACTATTTCGAAGGTGATTATAAGATATCATCTGTGCTCAGAACGTTGTCTAGCAAAAAGTACTGTCATAGTGTGCTTTATATCAAATAAACTAATATCTTTTTATGAAATCCCTTGCCAAGTATAGTATACCTTTATGATTTAGTGGTTACATGGATCACACTTTGGTGTTTAAAGCAGTGACTAGCTGGTTGGTCTTCCACTTGGAATCTCAACATGGACACAAGTATAACAAACCAGTTTCCTTCATAATTAGAAAGTTAAGGCTAAACGTAGGAGTACTAGACAACCGTTTCTTCCTAGTACAAGACATATCATCAATGTGTCTCTAAGACGTTCAGATTTTACAACACGCACGATCCAGAGTAGTCATACATGCTACTTTCACAGATACAAATGATCTACTTGATAAGGCGCCGACCTACTTAGGTTAGATTAAACGTGAATGATAATTGTGTTAAAGAAACAACTTTTTCCTGCTAAGGATACTTACCCCAACCTTTCATTGCTTTATGTAAAACTTCTGCATCCTCTTCAGCGTTATGATCTTCTGGAAATTTTAATGTAGGGTGAAATAATTCTCCATTTGGACCATAAAACTGAGCTCTATTCTTCGTCATTATTAATCTTGAAGATGAAGTATAGAAAAAAATTCATTTAAATAAAACAAATGTGTAACCTATTATAAATTTATATAGTTTCATTGATTTAAACAAAAAAAAAAGTTGATCAATGTTCAATGAAAGTAAATTTAGTTGAATAAAGTCATTTTGATGGCTTTTAAAGGATAATTCTTTCAGTTATTAGGAAGAAACTGTTGAACACAACCATCAGTGGATATTTTAAAGTAACATTTCGATAGGAAACTGGTCAACTAGTTATTTTTAAGAATATATATTTGATAATAAACTTTGATTGAAATTGTAAAATGTTGCTAAGATCATTCAGTCATTAAAGAATGTAAGTTTTCTCAAATAAAAATTCATCTTCTCAATTATAAGGTAATATACCCTTCGTTGATGTTTTTATTTCAAAGCGAACACATTATTATTATTATTATTCCCTTGGGTTCCTAGTGGAACATAGGGCTTCAGTAGCACGCCTCCATTACACTCTATTGTCTGCGAACTTATGAACCTCGGTCTACGGCTGCTTAGACAAGTTTATAAAATTGTGTTCAGAAAAGTACATGGACAGTGAGTTGAAATCTTTATGTCTAAGAAGATACAATCGAGGAATACACTAGTCGAAAATGATTATCTCGATAAACTCTTGTCGCAACTCATAAGAAAACACATTTCAATGACTAACAGAAACCTTCTATATTCAGATACTGTTTAAAAGGGACGTTCCCAATGAGGTTTTTAGACTACAAAGATCAGTTGAAAAAGTTAGTAAGATTGGTAAATTATGAATTACATCAGCTCATTGACGCATATGAGGTGAAGACAGGCGTAAGACAAGGTTGCCTACTATCAACGATCACCTTCCTGATTGTGGTCGACTAGCTCATGCATCAAACCGTAAGGAGCGAGAAGATGGGCATACGTTGTTTGACCGATGAAAAGACCCTAGAAGATTTGAATCTCGCCGATGATGATTTTTGTGTAGTGTCTTGTTGCACGGTCTTGAAGATCTACAGGAGTTAACCAATAAGTTGACAGAAAAAGCAGCAAAGAAGGGACTTCAAGTCCATGTAGTGAAGACGAGGGTAATGAAGATACCCTACCAAAAACAAGCATCAATCACCACCAACGACAGACAAGAATCTATCATTCATCATACATGTGGAAGAAGAAAACAGAGATGGATTGCGTTGGGCATACACTGAGAAGGCCGATTGGGGACATCACTCACCAGCCCAGGCCCTCAAGTGGAATGCAAAGGGGAAACAATGAGTTGCGCGTCCGAAGCTAGGGTGACATGAAGAAGATGATGTGAGGAAGAAATGAAAGCTTGTGGGTGGTGATGGAGGCAGGTTAAAGCAGAAGACTGGAGAGAATATAGTGAAATGCCTATGTTCTACTGATGCCGTATGTTCCACTAGGAACCGAAGGGAATTACATCATCAATACGCCAAGTGGTAATACTAAGTCTTAAAGATTAATTTTTATGAATATGAAACTTGGCGACTTTTGTTCAAAGTAATTCCATATAAGACTTGTTTATCTGATATGCTGCACAATGATACAATATTACATGATGGATGACGTTCCGAGCTCAAATTATTGCGCATAATCATGTCAATGTGTAATCACACAACACATTCAACATCTGATTTTTCATAATCGCCTCAATTCATATTCTTTGTTTACTATTGATGGGAAAATTCTCTATATCTCTTTTGTGTTCTTCAATTCCCGTTGAAATCCTTGTCGGTTTTCTGGCCCTATCATTTAGATATTTGACTATGCCTGCCTAATTGACAGTGTATGAGATGACTTGGAGTTTAGATACCTGTTAGAATGTGTCGTTTCCTGTAGATGGTAGTATGCAAACCATCATCTATTCTTCTTTTTATGCTGTAACACAACATACATAATTCTCCCTGTCCAAAAGGTCCGATTTCTACATAGTAAATGTATCATTCAATTACTGCTACCATTTCTTTGGGTTCAGGGTTAAACGTTTGTAAAGTCATGTCTTCCCAACTATCGATATTTGGGATATTGACGATCTTATTGCTACTCCTTATGTTTGTCCATATATTTTTTCATGAAACTCGAAGATTGTGGAGGTCAAACACAAGTGAACGCCTTATACAATTTCATTAGTCGATAACTTAGTTCTGTGAGTAAGTTCTGAGTTAATATTTAGTTGATTTCTGATTGCCTCTAGTACCATATTGATTGGTATTTTAGTATAAAGACTTATTACATCGAAACTGATCACCTTTTCATTCTTTAGTGATTCAAATGAAATAAAAATCTGATCAACAGTCAAAACTCGTAGCTCAGTTGATAAGGCATCAAGCTAAAATCTCTGTGGTCGCCGGTTCGAATCCGGCAGTGATTCAAATTATTATTTCACTTTCAATCATCACCCATTAACAGTTCAATTCTTGAACATTTGGTCAATTCTGTACATAAAGCTTGATCAGAATCTTCCTTCAATGTCATTTATCGTGTCAGATGGAATTGTTCAAAAGAAGTACACCTTCGACAGTTGTACACAGCGGAGGCACTGGCAATTCATCAATTCAAACCTGATCTCTGCGTGCAAAAGAAGTATGTTCAATCTCTCATCTTACCATGGTCTTAACACTTTCATTTTTTTCGATTTCATTATAATTAATTAGTTTATTATTATCACCTTCATTATGACCCTTGTCTCATTCTTCACCTTCTTTACACTTATCTTTCAAGTGGACACTAAATATTTGCGTTTCTTATCTATCAACAATTTTCACCTTGTCAAACTCCTCGCCTTGCTTGATATTTCTACCGTCTTAGATTATGACGCAACTACTTTGCAATCTTGATTCGGTTTTTCGTAGCACTTGGTTAGTGATGTAATGATACTCTCTTTTGTTTTATAATGGACTGTTATATGTTTATGATATATATAATAGGATTGTACAGCTTTAGAAAATGATATCGTCGAAAAAGGAAATTTTTTTTCCGCTGAATTATCTCTTCATTATGAAAGTACTCATGGACTATGTGTTGAGTTCTCACTTTTCTTATGAAATGTTCCTATCGATTCGATGTTCACCGATGTATCAAGTTTGTTGGCAGCTATGAAAGGAAATTCATCAGCCTATTACAAACATTCAGTAATATTCTCTACTCTAGTTATTCAATCCTTTTCCTATCGCAAAATATTCTACAGTATTCTAATAAGTTTCATTACACAATTCTTACTGAGGACTATTCTTTTGATACATTCATGCAAAACATAAACTGTTGTACAAAGTTTCTTTTGATGACGCAGATCATAAGGTATTTGGCAACAAGCCAAATGTTCTGTAACTATTCATATTAAAAACGCTTAGAAGACTACTATGTTGTTCATGAGTATAGTTTGTTGTCCATAACTAGTTATAACTTAACTTTCTGAGAAGTCGCTATTGCCTAACAGATTCTTTTGATTGACTGGGCTGAATCGATCAGTTATTGATGACACTGTTGAACCTCTCAGTGAATTCCTGGAATTTTTTCCAGGTGATTAATGTTTTCTACTAGCGATAGATAATGGCAATCAGTTTAATCCACTACATACGTTTCCTTCTAAGAAAGATTAATGGTTGTAGAGATTCATTTGTGATCCAGGAGTAAAACTTCAGGAGTATGGTAGGATGCGATTCCATTTAAGTTGATTTATTGGATGTATCACATAATGAATGGTGCAGGCCTCAGAACTACATAAACTACATCTTAAAGTTGTAGAGTTATCTAAATATGACTATGGATAATAAGTTGTATCCAAAACTTAGTCCAGAATATAATACCATTCTAATAAATCAACTAAGTTAGAATATTTACCACTGAATTTTATACTTAGGTTTATCGCAATATTTATTGATAGAAAAGAGAGATATGTTAGCTAACTGACCTTCAATACTTTATAAACGACTGTGGTGTTAATGAATTCTGTGAATATAAATGAAAAATCCATGTTTTAAGAGCACGGATAGTCAATTTGACCAATTACGTTTATTGGATAAAATCAACCAATCAAAATCTGATCTTATCATTAAATATGATTGGTTAAAAGTTTAAGATTAGGCTATAAGTGAAATATGTAATCTCACTATCGACTTACGTTCAATGGTATGTTTATTCTGAATGATGGTGGAAAACAACAACAAAAACTTTGTTTTGTTTTGTTTTGTTAACATAACTATTTTGCTCTTGAATATATGTATCATTAATTAAATATTTCATTTTGAAGGTTTATAAGTATTTATTGATTTAAGGTTGGTATTTATCATGGACTGAAATTAATTGGAGGAACATTGAAAACCTGAGAGAACTGGACATTTGTTTCATCCTCGGATGGGACTCTTCAGCAGTGTGCACACATGACACAGCCAGTATTGGAACCCAAGACCTTCAAGTTGCATGGGCAGCAGGTTAACATTAAGCCACTAGGTTAGAACTTTCATCGTTAAAAAAATATGGTAAAGCAGGGGAAATGTGTAGTAAAACGAAGAGTTGCAGGTATTCCAAGACAGTTTGTCACAGACTGCCAAAAAGGAAGGGGAATCAATAAGACTGACCTAGAAATATCTGGACATTGGTGACAGTAAGGTTTTCTCATTCACCGATAGCGTGTAGAAGTATTAATCATCGTTAGAGAAACAGTACATTATCAGATACACATGGACTCCGTAACCGACTTCCCATCGAATATAAATCACTATTAGCTTCACGCTTCATACTTAGCCTCTACATCATTGAAGTACACCCAAACAGAGACCAATGTAACTTGTTTAAAACTTTACTGATCCACTTTCCAGATCCGATCACTAGACTGCCTCATCTCTTTTGCTGTGAATCACTACCGTTTGCCACTTATCTTTGACTAATAAAGTAATTCTGCGTACTTGAAAATTCGTCGGCTAAAGGTTTTCTCTTCTCTTTGTCACCACAAAACTCATACTGTCCTAAGTGCCAGTTTGAAACCCCCTACCTACAGGCTAGACTAAAATCTATCAATAACTTGTCGCCAAAGCTGCATTTTTAAACCCAGTATACCAAGTTGTTTGAATAGCGTAGTGCACTCGGTGAATCCATGTCATATTCCAGTGTTGCACGTGTTTTTAAACCAATTTTGTTCACTTTCAATGAAAACTGTTTGACTTTCTACATTTTTCATCATCTTACACTGTGATAGCATCGACGAGTTTGATTAGATTGGGAAATAGAACTTTATCAATTCATGATAAAAGTCACGTCTTGGTAGAGTTAAATTTTAGTGACAGCCAATCACGTTCGAGTATAAATTGGCCAATCAGAAGCGAGCATATGAAGGACAATGTCAACTTTGTCTACACTTCAGTTATTTGACTAACAGAATGTTTCTGAAAGAATAACTTTATGAATGTAACTTATTTCAGATTACAAGTTAATCTGTTTTTCTACTACAGGTCATATGGACTATTCTAATCCATCTTTTTTTCCACTGAAAATATTCTTTCTTCATAATTCCAGTGCATATTTTACATTTCAGCTCAGAAAAAGAAATGCATAATAGTGAACTACGCTTCCTTGATTATCTTGTTGCTAAGCGGAAAGAAATTGGATATTTAGGTATAACGATTTTCAGCCTTTTAAAAGGGGCAAACACTCTAGTAACGGATGAAAATGAATGATGTGAACGAGATACTTAAAAATGAATAATTATCTAGTGAAATTCGTTTATAAAATCAAAAACAGCACTGAGTGAGATCGTAAAACTACTCCTAAATCATGAACTTTAACAACAGTTATCCTATACAGGTCATACTTAGCGGATGAAATGAGGAGAGTGTTCAAGAAAAGTAATATTGGTGTGTTTATTCTACAGAATATCGAACACATTGCAGACCATGTTAGTCGATCTGAAGGACGAGATTCCTCTAGATTCACGGTCAAAGTGTGTTTATAAAATAAAATACTTAGACAGCGATGCAGTATACAGAAGGTAAACTCCTCGTTAAATCAAAATAAGAAAAAATCAACACGGAACAGCTTCCACTCGACCCCTCAGATATCCAGTGGGACTGAAAAAACTTGAAAACACATCAGCCAATATCCAGGTTATAAAGGATGCTTCATAGCAGAACCTCAAAGTAATGGAGAATATTTGAAGCTCAGGTGGATGGTCTTGGTTGCACTGTATTCCCTGAGTTGGGTTGTTTAATCGTCCTTCTAGACAGCGACATCATCAGCACTAACTTCAGTATGAAGTGAGCTGTCAATATCTCTCCATGAGTGATTTAGTGGCTTGCTCTGACGATATGGTCTGTGATTGGTTGTTTCCCTCGATTGTTCTGTCATTGATTGTATAGACTGTCCCGTTTGGCTGTTCCTCTGCTAGAGCTCTGACCTTTCTGTTGTTTATCATTTTTCTTATTGACTGATAGATTGAGTCTATGTATACACATCCACTGATTGGTTATTAACCTGAATTCTAAGCTTCTAGGAATTCTCTGATATTCTTTGTGTTTCCTCACTCTCTCCCTTCAACATTTCTACATTGTCGAAATTCACTTCATGTCCATAGTTGTTATCCATGTGCACTGAAATGAGTGACGAAATGTCGTGGCGTTTAACAGCCAATTGGTGCTCATGTAGACGAAGGCGAAGAGGGCGACCACTCTGTCCAAAGTAGTGCTGACTACAGTTATTGCAGTTGATTTTGTAAATGATATTCGGTTTGTCTTCTTTGGTTATTGCATCCTTTGTTCTGCATAATAGTGTTTGGAGGGGATTTGTTGGTTTATGAGCAACACCAATTCCAAGTGGTTTCAGTAATCTTGTCATGATTCCTGATATATTCTTTATGTATGCTACGCTGATGCGTTTATTGATTTCTGTCGATGACTTTGAAGTTGATGTACGGGATAGGCATCTTGTAATAAAGTTTCGTGAGTAACCGTTCACGAAACTGCTGATGATGTCGTCTAGAAAGACGATGAAAGCTTCACAATTAAACAACCCAACTCAGAGAACACAACACAACCAATAGCAGAATTTCGTCGCATAAAGTGGAATAAAACTTGTTTGGATAGAAATGAAGGGATGAAACATAGTTTCACCTGGTCTCAACCCACTCCAATATAAAGGGAACTTGACCAAAACTATACTTGACAGAACAGAAAAAAATCTTCTCTGATAGTACCATTGATTATGAAATAAAACATTGAATCGTATCCTAGTTAAAAATGGTTACTTTGAAGGCTTTGTCAATACGTATTCGAAAAGTAGACAATGTAAAACAACAGTTCTCACAGCTCCAAAAATGTCAGTATTTATCAAAACTGCCTTTTAAAGGAGATGTCTTAGAATTATTTAGGCGGAGGCTAGACAAGGTTATCATAAGAGCTTATTATGCAGCTAAGCTAGTATTTCTGAACACCACCAGATGGGTGTTGCATTAATCAGGAAAAGACATGACTACAATCATCGACACATCCATTTTGAATGTACTTATGGAAGCAAATACATAGGTCATACGAAAAGGCATCTGTCTACTCGCATGACTGAGCATTTATCTGAATGGTTGAGTGAAGCCGAGTCAAAAATCCTACAGAGTTCCATTATTAAACACTTATGAGTTTAGTTATCAACTTGATGTTGACACCACTAACGCCTTCTCGGTTAGTTATCAGCAGACAGCGGAATAAGAAAATGCTCACAGTCGTAGAAACATGCATGACTACAGCTCGGTAACCGAGCCTATGTGTACAGAAAGAGATGGTAGTCACCCTGAATCTATCATAGTAGAGGTGTTGAAGTATTTTTATAAATGTCTTGCTTTCCCATTTTATTCCTTTTTCTATTTCTCATGTCCACCTCTTCACTGTCCTAATTATTCTGTACTATGATGTCCTCTTTAACTTCTCCGCTTACTAGTCAAATGACCAATCTCCATTGCCATTATCATTGTTATCCTTCAACTAATAGTTGGTCTAGCCTCCTTTAGTTTAACAATGTTACCAAGCTTTTTCATTGATATTCATTTACTTTGTTTCCAAATGATGTAACTTTTAACCATTTCAATATTCATCTTCTCATTGTTATGATTATCATTGTAATTGTTACTCACTCGTATTATTTGTCTACCTAACACCTATGTTCTCTTATTATACAAATTTATCAAGCTATCTTGTTGACTACTAAGTGTTACAAAGGTAGTATTCATTACGTATGAAACATCTGTCCAATGCTCTCAGATATTCAGTGGTTCCCCAACTGATGTTAGTCCATGATGAATACTACCTCTAAATTAAAAATCCCCACTCATCTCAAAGATACATTACTGTATAGTGCTCATTACTGACTTGCTTCCAGATGGATATTATGAAGCTCTAATGCGAAGTCGTGACCTGAGGCATCAACCAGTCAGAAGAGAAGGGGATGGCATCTGAAGACCTTGGATGATAGTCGCTCTATATCGTGAATTGACAGAATTTAGTTATTGCGAATCACTGAGAACCGACCCACTGGCTGAATGGTTAATGCATTCGCCGTGAGACCTGTAGGTTCTGAGTTCGATCCATAGCCAGGTAGCGGGTGTGTGCTGCTGAGGTGTCCCATACTAGGACGAAGAAGCTCTCCAGTGCTCCCGGATTATCATTGGTTCCCCAAATGATGTCAGTCTATGATGATTAAAAATCCCCATTCATCTCAAAAATATAAAGTGTTCTGTTCGAAATGATGTAATCCACCACTGGTCCTTCCTTTCTCATTATCAAGTCGTTATCCCCTACTAACCTAATCTTATCTCCGTTTGACATACCAAGTTATCATATATAAGCTTAGGGGATATCGTAAATTCCGGTTCATTATTAGCCAGAAAGAATAAGTAACAAGGAACTCACTATGGCAACAAACCTACCAAGATCTCATCACTCACCAAATATGCGGAAGAAAGAAAGTGTGAAGACGGTTTGCGAACATCAGGCTCCAGGTCAAGC